AATTCGTTAGTGAATTTCTTCTCCCCTGAAGTAAGAATGAGTCCCACACTCTTGAAAGTAGCTCACAAAGCCCTTGCAGCATCTGGTCTTTGAGCTCATCTCACACCACCCTACTCCCTTGCTTCCTTCTCTCTGTTCTTCAGACAGTCCAAACTCATTTTTGCTTTGAAGACTGAGCACATGCTGCTTCCATTAATGGCCTGTTCTTCCAGAAGCTTCTTCCTACCACCTATGTAAAGGCCATTGCAGTATGTTGTTATCAAACTGTTAGGATTATTTGATTAATATCCATCACACACACACACACACACACACACACACACACACACACACCCCTCAATACACAAGTGTAAATTCTAAGAGTTTAGATACCATCTCTTTCTTTCTTATCCATTGTATACTTGAGAATCTGGCTCAGAGGAAGTCATCAGTGTATATTTATTGGATGGGTGAATAAATGCAATGTGGGTAGTTACTTAAGGGGGCCTCGTGTGGGTGTTCTGTCATTTGTGTGCGAGGTGCTTGCACAGTGCTAGTATGTGTAGAATAACAGACTTGAAAATGTATCTTTAACCACAGATACTTTTCTTTGAAAACATCTTAGAAAAATGAGGAGAAAGACCATCCCATGAGATGCAACTCTGATCCTGTTCTATAAGTAGCTGAGAAGTGAGTTTGTCCTCATGGGCCAAGTCCTTCCTGGGAGGTCATCCAGGCTGCTGTAAAGGGAACAAGCTGACTTGAATTTGAGAGACACATAAACATGACTTTTCTCCTGGAGAGTTCTGGGCTCTAATCGGATAAAAGACAACATCATAGCTATTTAGCATGCCCATGGAAAGTCAAAAGGCATATTTTGAACTTTTGCACAAACGCACAGAGCATAGCTTCAAAAAACTTAGGAGTACGGAGATATTAAATATAGAATTCATCTTCAAATTAACTAGTTTTCATAATTGAACCTAGAAAGAAACATCGAGTGAGGTTAAATCTTATCGGGATTATTGTGCATCAGCCCATTAGTGTGGGTTAGAATGTGTCGTTTTGTGACAGCGTTAGTGGTAGCATCATTTCTCGAGCATATTCTCGGGATGCTGCTTTACTTTTATTTTCCGAATTTAGGAACAAAGTGTAGATGGCATTTAAAAGGGATGCAGAAATAGTTTCAGAGGCAGTTTTACACACTCATTCCACATTCTGTCATTTTCTGTTAAATTGGACTGAAGTGAGTCATTTATTGGGAGGTGAGAAAGGGTGTTCACATTTGCAAAGTGGCCCGAGCCATCTCTGGTAGACTTCATTTGCACACTCTGGTAACGGCAAAGCCGTCTCTTCAGTTAGACCCGAGATTGCCAGGTCCTCCGTGTCAGAGATGTGTTATGGCGGACAGCCATTGAAGGGTCTTGGGAAGCCATGAGGTGACAGGCAGATTCCGTGCACATGCATTTGTGGGCATGTGGGTAAAAGCATGTGTGCATTCTCAGCGGGAGAAAAGTCCAGCCCGTTATTGGATTCTGTCAGTGGGGCAAGGCTGCCAGAAAGAAATTTTTCTCCAATTTAGGAAGAGGGAGTGAATGGCCAAGGTTATAATTTGGTTTCCAGGGACGACAGAGTGACCCTGGCAAAGAAGAGTATGATGTTCCCTCAGATAACCCTGCGGTGCGGCTTCCTCCGGGTCCCAGGGAGGCTTTGTGAAGAAGGGGAGTCTCAACACGAGGGAGCCTGAAGCTGCAGGGGTGGTGACCGACTAACTGTGAAATGAATTTAGTGTCAGTGGACCAATCCCACAATCTGGCATATGCTACTCATTTGAGGAACCAAGGTGGGCATTTGAATGGAGGGATGCAGTTCTCTGGGTGAACTCAGAGCTCCTTTATCTGTTGAATTATTTGCTTTTATTTATTTTTTTTAAAGATTTTATTTATTTATTTGACACAGAGAGAGAGACAGAGAGCTCAAGCAGGTGGAGTGGCAAGCAGAGGGAGAGGGAGAAGCAGGCTCCAGGAGAAGCAGGCTCCCTGAGGAGCAGGGAGCCTGATGTGGGGCTCGATCCCAGGACCCTGGGATCACGACCTGAGCCGAAGGCAGTCGCTTAACCAACTGAGCCACCCAGGTGCCCCGAATTATTTGTTTTTATATTTAAACTATCTTTTTCCTCCTTTCCTGAGAGAACAAAAACAAAACACAACCAAAATGTAAAAAAAGAAGGGCACCTGGCTGGCTCAGTCGGTGGAGTGCGCAACTCTTGGCCTCAGGGTTTTGAGTTCAAGCCCCATGTTGGGGGTAGAGATTACTTAAAAATAAAATCTTAAAAAAATGTAAAAAATAGAAGGCAGTGTCCATTAATTCTCCTTACCAAGGTTTATTTCAAAACAGAAATAGCTTTAAATTTTGTTTTGATTATAACAAGCATTATACATTATAAAAAGTAGACAATACAGGAAACTATAAGGAGGGAGAAAGGCACCTGAATCCCATTTTTTTCTTTCTATGCTAATGTGTTCGCACCAAAAATGGGCTGATGCTGCATGTGCTTATTTATAATTGAGACCCTTGTAGAGACCGCAGTGAAGAGAAACACAGATTTCCAGCCACATGCAAAAGTGAGTGGGGGATGTATCTGTCATGAATATTTTCTGACTCTGAAAGTCTTCAGCACGTCTCCAGGGGAAGCAAGAAGACAGCTAGTGAGCTTCTTGGGGCAGAGATCGCAGAGCTGACCCCAAGAGCCTAGTTTGCTGTTGGGGAGGACTGTTGAAAATTAGCAGAACCAGGTTTTAGTCCAAGTCTTTGGAGTTCTGACCCACCCAGGTCCGAGCTGAGCATTTCATCCTCAAAAGGGAACAGTGGTGACATGGGGGATGGTGGTGGTTGTCCCTGCCCAAACCTCAGTGTGTTTTCCGGACACCTTCACCAGAGTATGTGGTCCCCTGGAGTCTGAGTGAATTAAGCCTCTCCTAGTTCTGCCAAGACCTCTTTGCTACTGTAGACTGTGGGCCTCAAATTTCTCCTGCAGGCACACCAAATACAATTTTAGGTGGTCTATCTTGCGTTCATTAACTACATGCCCAATTTTCCTCAACTTGGAAGTCTTGCCAAAATCTATATTCAAATCTGTAATCTGTAATAGTCAGGGGTAAATGAAATTTTTGTCCTCCTTGGGCTTTACTTCAAATACTTACTTCAAAGCAAAGACTGGAAGGGAAGGGAGTCAAGGGGCTGAGATTTAAACGAAGGGGGACCTTGAACATTTCCATGGAGATGGGAAGTGAAAGGTGAAGGATACCTGGGGAGAGAGCAAGGAATGGTTTTGATAGGATTGATTGTAAGACCAAGGGGAAGATTTTGATGCTATACAGAAATTGAAGGAACTGAAATGTTCTGGATCAAAGATCTTCTAAACCACTTAAAAAGCATATGCTACGCAGGTTCTGTAACAGAGGATGGAGATACCCTTTTTTGTCCCTCTATGATGCTCTTAAGCAGGTAAGTATAGGGACATAGCATCTATTAAGTGAGAGGCAGGATTCCAGAGTTTTTATTTTGAATGGGAGAAACTAAACACCTGGGCTTACCACTGTCTTTTATTCAAGAAAATAAGAACTGAAGTTATTTCATATCCTCCAGGTATTTTTCTTCCACTAGGTTTTGCCCTCCATTCAATCAACATTCAAAGAAAGAGCATTTCATAAAATAGAAAGGGTCTTTTGCTGAGCAGGTTTTAAGGAACAGGAACCTTCTTATTCTATTGAAATTTAATGAAACTCTTTCCCTTTGAAAACTGCTTGGACTTTGGACAGGTTGCAAATCTAACAAGGCTGACCTCCTGAGGTCAACCCATATATAAAGTGTGATCTTGGTTTTTAAGCAACAGCAGTGTCAGAGGATCAAGAGGTGAAATGTGATGCCTGCAAAATTGATTAGCTAAGAATTATGGAAGCTCTTCATATGATAATTACTTATATGCTTATAAGTACCAGTGCACACAGACTGCTAGGCATGATTTTTTGAAAGGTCTCATCTCTTTTCCTTATTGTGTAGAAGAACTTCTGGCAAACCTTCAGGTAAAAATTGGGCATTTTATTATCGAAAGATGCAAAATGAGAAGTCCCCAGGAATATTTTTAGCCCTGATTGTATTTCTTCTGGATGTTATAGCCTCACATTTAAATCACCCTGGTATTTTGTCTCAACGTATTTTGTCAAAAACGTGAGGATGTTGAAGTGATTGAAACAAGTTGTTTCTCTCCCCTGAACTTCAAACTCAAATACCCAGTTGCTATTTGGACATCTCCAGATGGATGTCTACTAGCTCAAATTTATAAGCCCAGTACTGAACTCTTCCAACTTCAAAGACCCAAGTAATCATCCCATCATCTCTGCCATATCAGTAAAAGGCGACTTCAGTCTTCTAGTTGGATCAGTACCCCCACCCCCACTTTGAAGCCATCCTTGATTCCTTTCTCTCACATCTTCCATGCAACCTATTAACCATTCCCTTGGCTCAACCTTCAGGTTATGTCCAGAAGCTCACCGCTGTCCTCCATCTCTGCCACATTACCCTGGGCCAAGCCATCATCCTCTCTCACCTAAATAATTACAGCAATCTCCTAAGGTCTCCCCACTTCTGCCCTTGCCCTAGGACCTTTTAAAACCATTTTTAAAAAATGGGTGACAAAAATCAGGGTGCTAAATTGATACATCTTATAATACACGTGCCCAGTATCTTAGCTGGGAACCTCTGCTGAAAACTGGATTTGTTTTCCGCTACAGCCCAGAGAGCAATATGGTTTGTAATTATGTCTTTCCATCTGTCTGCCAATCACCTGGGGATTTATCTGCATGCAGCATTAGCTGGAGAAAGATGGAAGCCAAAATGTTGTTGATATATTTATGTATGTGTGCGTAGACGTGCTGAACAAAAACAAGCTGATGGAAACACCCACCTAAAGAACCAATAACAATCTTCTCTCCTTGCTTCTCTCACTTGCTCACTTTCAGCAACCACTGGAAAGAAAAGACAGCCAGAATAGCTCTCAGCACAGCATCTCCAGCCACCGGAGCCTACACACGGCCTCCCCAGGCCACAGCACACAGGTGCTCCCCGAGTACCCACCTGCAGAGGCCCCAACTCCAGATCAAACCGACAGCTCTGGGCAGAAAAAACCAGATCCTTTTAAAATCTGGGCCCAGTCCAGGAGCATGTATGAAAACCGACGTGAGTAGCACCCTGGCTCCTGTCTTCCCGAGACCCCTGCCCAAGGCTGCAGTTTTCTCTTGAGGCTTCTTGAAAATAGATTTTCAGTGTATAAACGGGGTAGAAGTAAATCACGGTGAGAGGCAAAAGCTTCTCAGAATAGTGACAGAATCTGCTGGATGTTCATGGAGGATCCACTATGTGTTCAGTTTGGTGGGGGGGGAGCAAGATGCAGATGGTGGTCAAAATAAAGGGCCTGGATAAAAAAATGAATTTATTTTTCCCTTCAGTTAAAAGAAGTGGCAGATAAGAGCTGCTGTCTCATTCACTCTTCCCCGTGTAGAGATTGTGGCATATTCTCGTGAGACAGCTCTGATGTTCAGTAGAACATAAATATGATTGATTTGGATTGCAGGAGTAATGAGAAGAGATTAAATGCTTTCTTAGTGGCCTCCAAGTTTTTAAGACTACTGGTAATTTCTTTTTTTTATCATTATCAGTCTTTTGAAACATTCCCCTTAGAAAGGAAAAAAAAAAAAAAGAAAGCAGTGAGTGGTTTGCGCTTTAATTATTTATACTGTGGTTAAGTGTGTTCCTTTGGCTTTACCTTTTCGATAAACATGAACTAGTGATGGCATACATTGTAACTTTTTGGCCCTTATAAACCTAACATTGCCTTCTTGTTTTATTTCTTACTTTTTATTTTGAAATGATTCCAAAGACTGTTCATGGTAAATAATAATCATGGATCCTACCATTAGCAATGAAAGCTCCAAGGTGCTTTAATCCTAGGGGATGCAGACTAACCCCCATTTTGGTGGTTGCTATTACTGACATTTTCTCATGAGTGTGATTGGTCAGGATGAAGCAACTCCGGTGGAAGGACTGCACTTCATTTTCTCTTTGGGGCGGGGGATTGAAGAGAATGTCTGGTGAAGGTTCTGATTAAAATTGGAAGAGAGAAGAGAATCACTCTGCCCTTCCTCTTTGTGCCCCCCCACCCCGCCAGCCGCAGCACAAATTTTGTTTATGGCCACAGCTGTGGTTGTTTCTCAGGCAAAGCCCCATGGCCCCAGCCTCTTGCCCACCCACTCAGACTTGGCTCTGAAGCCTTTCCTTTGCTGGCTGGAGCAATTCCTCCGTGACTCAGAACAGGGGAGCATGGCCAGCATCCTCATCTGAGAAGGAAAGTTGGCCACATTACTGGGTGAAATTCAGCAGTTACGGGGCAAAAGGCAAGTCTGGAGTCATGATGATTACCACATTTTGGAAGTCACTCAGGAGTCCCCCCATCCTTTTCCTCCTCAGGGGAGAAATATCATTGCCTTCTTACTATAACAGCGTGGTGAGTTAAATAAGCTGTTTTGGCTGAGTTCCCTATGCTGACAAAAGCCAGATAATTTGAGTAAGAATTTATTGAGTCCCCAGTATAGAAAGACCCCTAGAGTATCCCTGAGGCCAGGTCAGAGGAAATGAAGTTCCATGTGGAACATTCCTCATAAGCATGAGTTGCTAAGTATGAACCTGGGGTCTGTTCTCCCTGTGCCTTCTCACTAACTGTAGTGATTTCATTGAACAAATGTTTCCCAAAGAGGAGTATTTTCACATTCTTTTCACATTTCTCTCTAACCATGTGGCTCCTCCAATCAATGGTCCACCTTCAGTTGATGTTGAGATATTGCTTTATTGACCAAGCTTCTGCTTTTCTCAATACAGTACACATTTAGGACTTTCTCATGTGTGAATCTTTCTGTGATAAAATAAATCATGTTCTGAAATGCTGGTGGGCATCAAGGATTGACAGACCGTCCTGACGCATCCATTTAATAGGAGACTCCAGCTCAAATGCCATTTTCACCTTGATGGAAGCAAAATTCCTTAAGAATTTGGTATTTCATCAAATTTTCAAAAAAAAAATTTTTTTTTTACCAGAAATAAAAAGTAAAATACATACTCTTACCCCACAGCCAGCTGCTTATTTAAGCATCAAAATTATTCAGGTGGCTGTCAGACTGAAATATTTGGAATGGGGCCAGTTTTGTCTTCACTTTCTGTAACATCTATGGAATATGATCCAGCAGCCCAAACGAGAATCCATTTCTTTTTGGTGATTGGAGGCTCCATAATTGAGTGATCGTAGAATCCTAATTGATGTTAAGATTCCCATGGATTTCTCCCTCACCACTCAATAAGGGTAATGAGGAGACTTTTCCCCCCAATGGTAATTATTTGGTCTCTGTCACAGATTTTCTTCTTTTCACAGCACCTGTAAACGAACCTACATCATTCTTGTCTTTTAATCAGTCTTTTGCTTTATCCCAGATCCGTTTTTCCCGTTCCCTTAGGTTGTTTTTTATCTTGTCTTTTCCGGGGGGAGGGGGGTGAAATAGAGCACGTAGCCTTGTTAGGTGTGATTCCCAGCCCCTCCCCCAAGACATACTGAACCACCATACTCCAGGAAAAAACAGGGAAGTTGAAGTCAGGAATAACACTTCAATTGGACCCATGTTATCCTCTTTTTATTTTGAAAATATATTTGTCTTATACTTCATTTTATTGTGAAGGGCAGTGTGAAGATTAACACCATCCCTGATCAGATTCCTTCACGTGGTCTAAATGCTGTGCAAAATACCATATTCTTGAAGGGCCATCTGTCAAAACACCAGGGTCAAAATGAATCAATCTGAATTGCAGATGTGTTAATAAATCCCTTTGAAGGGCTTAAATATTTAATTAAAAACAAAGGCAAGCATGGAGGTCCTTTAAAAGCCATGTTGCCTGCTTTGTCTTTTCTGTAGGAACATATCAATTACTCACGTGTCTTTGAAAATGACACTGATGCAAACTTATTAGTAAATGTTCAGGAAGACCAGCTAGCGTACACCAGTGTGTACTACAAAAGGAAGTCTAAAGCTTGCCTTTGAAACACCACCTGTTCACAAAATAGTTTGGAAAGGAAAAAAGTCAAAGCTATTGCACCAACGTTGTAAACCTGTCCTATTCAGAAGAAACATGCTTACACATTTGGAATTGGTCAATGGGATCCTTTATTGTAGTGAGTTTAAGGACGTTGGTTGTACGTCTAGATTTTAAGAGCTGTTATGACAGTTCTTATTTGTGTTTCGTTCAGTTCTTGGCCAGATCTGATGATTTGTGTCTCTAAATAAAAGACTACTCCAGGGGCACCTGGATGGCTCATTCGGTTAAACATCCGACTCTTGATTTCAGACTGAGTCGTGAGATCGAGCCCTGCATCTGGGCTCCACGCTGAGCGTGTGGAGTCTGCTTGAGATTCTCTCTCTTCCTCTCCCTCTGCCCCTACCCCCTCCCTCTCTCTACTTTAAAAACAAAACAAAACAAAAAAACTATTTTGGTTGAATTGCTGAGAATTCATCTGAACAGGTATTAGTGCAAGAATGAATTCCATTGGGAGTCTTTAAATAAATCCTCTAGTGTGGCAGTAATAGAAGTATACATAATTTTTTTTCAAAAGGAAATCAGGGTTTAGACAAACCTAAAGTTCATGACATGATTAAAACAAGTCATACGAAAATGCGTACTTTAGGGTATAATTAAATATGAAGAGTCTAAGATGGTAATGGTAGTTGTATGAAATTCTCAGTGGAACAACTCTAAATACCAGCTTTTTGACAAGAAAAGCACCATGAAAAAAGAAGGAAAAAAAAAAGCCAGAATCAAACTATAGTCTTTTAAAATCCATAGCAGCCATGACCTTTACTGTGAAAGCTTAACTGCACGTTCCTTATCAATCAAAACTAAATTAAAATGAACTAAGAGAAAGCACATACATTAAGCTTTGCAAAATTGTGAAATTAATATTCCAGCTATGTCACCTTCGCCTGCATCGGGATTGAGCAAGGGGGAAAGAGAAAGAGAGATCAATTCCACGAGTTTTGGAGAATGTCAGAGTAAGGATCTGCTGAACACTTTTATTTCTCCATTATTATTCATACTGTTCGATGTTGCCATTGGTCCTGGGCAGGGGCGTGGGGTGTGCTGGGGGAAAACCTCAGAAAAGGGAGGGAAGAAAGAGAACTGCCATGAACAGAAGCATTATGGCGCTCTTGTTGACCAAACACAGACCAAAGACAGGATGACATAAAAAGCGATGGGCACATTGTATCTAAGTCTGGAAATTTGTGTCTGTAGTAATGGAGACACCAGGAGGTTTCTCTGCAAACCTGGTGATTCCATTCTTTGTAATTATCAAAGGAAGTCTTTTGACTGCTTTATTGAGTTGTCCCTGGCATTACCAAAGGATGTAACTGCTGACATTGTCCCCTCTGCAAGGGCTTTAAAAAGGAAGAAAACTGGACAAAGTTTTCTTCGTTCTTTTTGATTCAGTCTCACTCAAAAAAAAAAAAAAGATACGAATATCAGAAAGATAATTCTTCCCTGCTCTATTCTTGTAAAATCTGCCTGAAATAAAGAAGAGAATAAAGCATTTTGGGGGAGTGGTCTAGAAACTTCGGTGCCCCTGGGAAGAAGTGGCAGCAGAGAACACAAAAGAGAGAACTCCTATAATTCTGTAACATGGTTCCCTGCTGCTTTATCACCTATGTTATATATTTGGGTACGTGGAATTTGGTGGAAGAATATAATGGTTAAAATGCCAATGTCAAGGTGCCAAAAGACTTTCTTTGTAACATGTCTGTGTTGGTGTATCGTGTGTGTGTCTGTGTTTTACTAGCTCATCATTGGCATCTTCAACACCCTTGGTGTCCTTGGGCATCTTCCTTTTCAACAGGAAGCTCTTTAAATAAATTTGCCATTTCCCCATTGATTCTCAGAGAGACACAAACGCTATTTTCCTATGGACTAAACTGAAAGATAAGCCTACGTCTTTTGGCCACAAGCACCCATACCATGACACTGGATGCCTAAATGAGCGACTGAAGGCAGAAACCTGCTACCTTTGGTGTCACTAGCATGGGCAAGTGTTCTTGTGTTAAATGATACTGAGAAAAATGGGTAGAGGCTGGAAGTCTCTGCAGAGATCCTTCCCTTGTTTGCAAAGGGCTCAGCAGACTTAAGGCTGCCAGGAACCTAGAGCTGGCCGGAAAGCACCCGTGGTCTATTTTGGAAATAATCCTCCTGCTTGAGTGAACCCAAGACAGAGTCCCAACCTGATTTAATTTGTTGTTTCAGTGAAACCATTAGAGCAAATACCCTGTAGCCAGCTACTCGAACAGAAAGAAAATATCATTACCTTAGCATGCTCAAGAAAATATCATTCTCAAATTGTGTTTAGGGGAGTCCTGTGATATAGTTTAACTGCACATTCCGTGGAGTCTTGCAGCTTAACCTCCGCAATTATAATTAAAAAAATGCACTGGGCATAAAGCCTATGGCATTAAGATAGCTCAGGCAAAAATACTGGATTCAAACTTCTCTGACTTGTACTTACCTGTTCATTTAGTTTCTTCTCTCTTGGCGTATTCATACACCGTACATTTGAAGGTAGTGGGTGAGTCACTCTTGCCAACTTGAAATCTAAACAACCGCCTTCTTCTTCCCTACCTCTGTACAAAATTGAAGAAGATGAGAACTAAACTCGTAGGCCTACACACTCCTTCAATCCTGAACCCAATTAATTAAGTAAACCAGAAAGTATGTAGAACAGTATTTGAAAATCTCCTTTAGGATTCACTGCCACTAAGCCAGTTTTTTTCTTTAAGTAAAAGATGTGTCATTTTAAAGACCATAAAACAGTCTCTTGTATACGTTAAAATACTAAAGAGGAACTAAATAGAAGTAACTTTTTTATTACCTTAGTTAAGCAACAGAGTGGTACATAGGACAATTTCAGGTAAATTTCAGGTATAGTGAACATCATCTTATAGAAATGATTTTTCTTCTAATAAATGAGATTTTTATTTTAAAGCTCAGGCCATTACTAAGAGTAAAATATCAACTTATTGGATAATAAGTTAATACTTACAATTTTAAAATATGATAGGCAGAATCTGGAGCAAAGCAGTCATTCCAGTGATAAAGTAAGAAAATACAGAAAATTGACATTGAACGTTTTTGTAGTCCCCATTCATGTTGAGAATATGGAAGGCCGGCTCCTTTTTGGTAATATGACTGAAATTATAATAAACTTTGAAAACTGGAAATATTAGGATGCCCAAGAGTAACTTTTGGCAAAAATGATCTAACGAAATCAAATTATTGGTTTGCCGATCTTGATTACTTTATGGGAGAAAAAAGTGACATTTTTTAAAAAACTGAAAACTCTTTAACTCAAGCTATTTTCTTTCATCCTCTACTTGGTATAACATCAGATGAGTTATCAGGGCTTCTAAATCCTAAGAGGGAGCTTCTGTTTCCACGGTCACTGTGACTCAGCATGAGCTCCCTCCTGAGACGTGGGCACTCACTTTGTGGTCCAGCACATGATGATTTTAATTTACTTAATTTCTCTGGCAACAATACCAAGGACAGTGGTCAACACCGACTTCTGGCTTAGTCCGGGATAATGGCTGGGGCTTGATTAGGAATCATCAAACAGTGATGAGTCCTTTGAAAAAACTTAGGGCTTGGTGACCGGTCCTACTCTTTGTTTCTGCCTAGTGTCCTCTGTTATTTTATCCATCCAGATTATTTTGCTTCCTTCTCTGTTGGAATGCTGTCATCTGCTCAAGCACCATCAGGATTGCTCCTCTGTGTTCACCTTAATGGTATGATTCCTTTTAGCAGAGAAATCACCTCCCTCTTCCTTCTTTCTTCTCCGCAGTTCCAGACTACCAAGAACAGGACATCTTCCTCTGGAGAAAAGAGACTGGATTTGGATTTAGGATTCTGGGTGGAAATGAACCAGGGGAACCTGTGAGTCTCTTGTCTACTTCTTCCCCCAGTGCTATTTTCTAAGATACCAAAGCAAATTGGCAGCAGTGACAAGTCACCAAGATTTGAGTCCAGCCATGTGCAACACGGACTGTTTCATTTCAAGCAGTGTGGGTTATTCGCTGGGTTTTGTGGAGCTCCTTTTGTCTTGAAGAAGAGACTCATTCCCTTCTTTAAAGCTTGCATTCATGTTTATAAAAAGTGGCAGCTCCAGCACCCGGAGCTCCGCATCAAAGAAAATGAAAACAAAAAGCAAAATAATAGGCATCAACTAATGAAGCAATGTCGTGATCCTTCCGGCCAAATCTGTTAAATTGGCCAGCAGGGAGTGGACTTTGTATATAGCTAGTGCACGGAGAGCTCTTGACGAGACATGAGAGATCAGAGGAAGCAGGACTGCTGTCTTTACAAAAGTAGAAAAAGAGCCCTGAACAAGAGTCAGGAGACCTCAAACCTCCCTGGTCCTCAGTTCCCTCCTCACCTTTAGAACAAATTTGTATAACGTCGTAAGAATGTTTTGAAAGGAGAAAAGAGAACTAAAGATAAATACTGTTAACTACTCTTAATAAAAAATAGCTATTATTTATTAAGCACTTACTATGTGCCCAGACCCCATGCTAATGGCTTTTAACATAACATTTTCTCATTTCTCCCTCAAATCCCAGAATTTATCCCCATTTTTCAAATTATCCAAGACACAGAAGGGTTAATTCACTTGCCCAAGATCATAGCACTAGTAAGTGGAGGAACTGAAAGGGTCCCTCCACTTGGAGGAATGTGGACTTCAGGGTCCACATTCTTAATCATTCTTTTGTCAAAGTTCTTTGTAAACTGTAAATACCATCTAAAGGTAGTTACAGCATTTTTATCTAATGAGGAGGCAAGGAAAGCACAAATATTTTCGCTCAGGTTTAATGAACGGTAAATGTAACAAGACACTAAATATAAAGACTGCTCTGCATGCAGCTGCTAAAAGTACGGAAATGGGATCTCAAACCAGACTTTGCATGATTCATTGCCTCATTGAGCAGTATTTTTTGTGCATTCCCTATTGCTAGGCATAGAGCTGGACCTTTAAAGAAAATTAGTATTACTATTATAATTTCCAGAGTTTCCTAGGAGGGTTCTGAGGTAAACAGAGAAGGAGAAAAGATTTTGCAAATGAAGGAGTAAAGTGATGTATTTCTACAAAGGGGAAAAAGTGAGTCCTCAGATAAAGGTCAAGGAACCAAGCAAGAAATAGTTACTTTTGGGACGCCTGGCTGGCTTAGTCAGAAGAACATGCAACTCTTGTTCTCGGGGTCGTGAGTTAGAGCCCCACATTAGGTGTAGAGATAACTTTAAAAAAAAAGGAATAGTTGCTTTTCCACCATTTAAGAATTACTGTAGCACCTATCACAATGGCCTGGTACCTGGTGGGTGCTCAATAAATGTTTATGGCATGGATGCAGACATGAATGAATGAAATGAATTGTTCTCAGAAATGTGAAGGCCATCGGTATCATAGTAAACCAAAAGGTCAACGTTTCATCCATCATCCAATTACTCAACAGATTTATATCGGTCACATTGTACCGCTGGGTGCTGCTGATACGGATGGCCGCCTGAGGTCTGGGGATGAATTAATCTGTGTGGATGGGACACCGGTAATTGGAAAATCACACCAGCTTGTGGTCCAACTTATGCAACAAGCTGCCAAGCAAGGCCACGTCAACCTCACGGTGCGGCGTAAAGTGGTGTTTGCAGGTATGTTTTTCATTTATCCCTTTAGACAGTGCTTTGTCACTTTATGCACAGAAAAGGCGCCCTTCCCGTGTCTGCCTCCTCAAGCATCTATTTTAGCAAATCTTCGCAAATGTGATTAAGCTCAGACTTTCCAGATGGTTTCCTTCTTTCAACTCCAGCAAAACTACTGTCATTCAACAGTACTTTAATGTGCCATTCATGCACGTTCAGCAAAACCTTCTAGAAGAGGACTAGTTGAATATATACTCCCTCTCCTCACCTCTGTGCCAACCAGAACTTAGTCACCTCTTCACTTGATGTTAATTCTCAACAAAAGAGGTCATTATAAAAGGCAGGAACGCTGTAGCTTCAAGGTACAAGAACAAAAATTAGTTTTGTGCCGCCAAATAAGCTCATAAAAAAGTTAGTGATGCCTTACTCTAGTGTTGCTGCTTGTCATAGGTGAGAAGCCAAGGTTTGTTTTCTCTGTAAGAACGTTGTAGAGCTGGCCAGTTCTTGGCCATCGTTGACTCCTTTCTCCTGCCTGTAAGCTTTAAAGTACTTGAATTCTCAAAACATACAAACCCTTTCTGGCTCAACTCAAATAAAACCTTCCCTGTGAAACCCTCAGAAATTCCCTCCTTCTTCCAATTCCCTTCCAATTTTGGCATTCCTCCCTTGCCATTTTTGTGAGTCATGGTTTACTTTTGTATCAGAATCTGCCATTTTGAGACGGCTCGTTGTGTAACTGTCTCCTTCCCATTCACTCACCGACGTCTTGAAAGCACACACCACACGGGATGTTCACTGTGTCTGCAGCCCCCACCTTGAAATAGTCAAGACAGAATGCAGAAAAAGCAGATTGTTATATCCCTTGAATTACTGAAGAAATATGACATGAAATATTATCTTTTCTTCAGCACTTACCAAGTGAAATTAACTGGCCCTTTGTTAAAAAAAAATTGTATAACTCACTTACATGGATTATATAATTAATTAATTATAGAATTAAGATATCAGATTCCAGTGTGAGAATCCTACCTTATTGAAACCATGGAAAATGGTGTTAATCAGTCATGGATTATGCCCAGAGAGCTCACTGATGGCCTCAGAATATTTCTTAAAATGGTACTCCGTGCAGTCAGTTAGAAATGGCTTTTGAGAAGGGATGAAAACGTTCGATTTCACTGACCCAAATAAAAATAATAGAGCAATGCGATTTTTGTTTGTTCCAGATTTATTTTTTAAATATTAAATATTTGGGGGTTTTAGCTCTGAGCCAAAGACATGTTAAATCTATAAGAGACATTAGACTGAGTACAATAAGCTGGTCACAAAAGGGCAAACATGGTATGAATCCACTTACATGACAGACCAAGAGTAGTCAGATTCATAGAGACAGAAAGCCGAACGGTGGTTGCCAGGGGTTGGGGGAGGGAAAAATGGTTCATTAGTGTTTAATGGGTACAGAGCTTCAATTTTGGAAGATGAAGAGGTTCTGGAGATGGATGGTGGTGATGGTTGCATGTTGCTGTGATTGGACTTAATGCCACTGAACTATACACTTAAAAATGGTTAAGACAGTAAATTTGATATTATATATATCTTACCACAATAAAAAGAAATATATGAAGGGAGAACTTCCAAGAATAAATGTCTTACGCAAAACCCGAACACGCATTTTGTTTGTAGCATCAAACCTGGGTCACTCCTGCTTATTATTTTGGCAATTTTGGTGTGCTTTATCCTGTCACTTACTGAAGCAATAAAACTGGAAGTCTGAGGAAGGCTGACATACCCAGGAGTGTGATCAGAGTAGACAATGACATCTGGAAAGTAGGAAGAGAAACTAAGTATACCTCTGACAGGTGTTGTCAAGAATCCCACGATAGGGTAACTTTAATGGTAAAGTCAACGTGCACAGTCCAGCCTGATGGAAAAATGGAAAGCAACGCTGCTTGGCAAGCTGAGCAGAAGTGTGACTCTTGAGGGTAATGACAAGGTGAACGTGCGCTTAGGTCCCTGCGGTAAAAGTGGGAGTCCTTGCGGGTGTGGACCCCACTTGCGCTTCTGCTCACGTTCCTGTGATTCGTGCGCAGGAGGCAGTTCGGAGGGGCCCCCCTTGCAGCCGTATGGAGCCTGAGAGCAGATGCCCATATTCAGTAGGCTTTTGTCCCCTGGGGTGTCTCCCGTGGGCTCCTGGCAGGAGCTTCGGGACAGGAGCTACGTGCGGGATAAGGGGCTGGGGTCTCGTTGCACACTGTGGCGCCGGCAGCGGGGGGGCCAAGCAGGGGGCTGGCTGAGCCGGGCCTCCGTCTCTTTCTCTCTCTCTCTCTCTCTCTCTCTCTCTCTCTGTCTCCCTCCTGCAGCCCCCAAAGCCGAGAATGAGGTGCCGTCGCCGGCCTCCTCCCATCACAGTAGCAACCAGCCGGCGTCGCTGACCGAGGAGAAGCGCACCCCGCAAGGCAGCCAGAACTCCCTGAACACGGTGAGCTCCGGCAGCGGCAGCACCAGCGGGATCGGCAGCGGCGGCGGTGGCGGCAGCGGCGTGGTCAGCACAGCAGTGCAGCCCTACGACGTGGAGATCCGGCGCGGTGAGAACGAGGGCTTCGGCTTCGTCATCGTGTCCTCAGTGAGCAGGCCCGAGGCCGGCACGACTTTCGGTGAGTGTCCCGTCCGCTCCCCCGCACCTTCCCCGGACGCCGGTGGCGAGCGTGTTGTGTTGCAAGGGCAAGATGGCCAAATTCTCAGTAACGGAAATGCCTTCATGCTTTTCGCCGCAGGTAATTACAGTCTTAATTGGGGATGGAGAGTGTGTTCGGTAGCTTTTCCCTTCCTGAAGGTTGGATTTTTTTTTTTAATCTTTCAGCTTCCATGCAGAATGCGTGTTCACATGCATACAACTTCGAGCATAAATGGAATTTGCATGAAATTTGATGAGCGACCCCTTGACAGTGTAGAGTGAGCAATCCTTGGCAAAGAATGCATTTGTGAGGTCCTTAGGATATCAAGAATAGCAGAAGCCTCACCAGGTGGAGGAGGTTTTGGAATAAGCTTATGGTGGTAAAAATGCCTAGGGAACAATACAAGTGTAAAGAGTAAACATAATCATGTGAAGTGCCTGGTCCAGTTTATCGGTGTCCTTTCTCTACCCTAACCCCATCGGAAATTTTTAAATGTTAAATAATATTTTTACCATTGTCTGCTTAAGAATCTAGTTAAGATCTGAGTTCAGAGCCATTTGTTTTCACGGTCCTTGAATCCCAGCAGGGCTGATTTTCCCGTCTCATCTGGATGTTGGGGGTTTCAGCAGAGTATGGAGAAATCCAGTTGTCACCCTCTCAGAAGGTTAACTGATGGGTATACTAGCAGAGACAAACAGGACCCATATGATTCCAAGAACCTAGTAATCTGTGAATCTATTTCCTGTTAGAATGGATTATAAAAATGTACTCCAAATATGATCCATCTTCTTCATTAGATTAAAAAGTCACCTATTAATCCCCCAAGCACATTTGTTCATTAATACAGAATAGGAGGGGAGATGGGGAAGGGCTATGCAGGCTTTGAAATTTACGCATTTTTATCCCCAAATGACTTGTCCACAAGAGTCTAATGACCTGTGGCCCAGGTCACTGCTGGCTAAGATCAGGCGAGGTGCTCCATCCCTTCAGCTTTCTGATCCGGTAGAACTCCCTTTACCTTTGTACCTTGCTTCCTGCTAAAGCCATTTCCCCTGAGGTCTGTTCATTAGGAGACTGAGTCAGTCAGGTCTATGCATGTGTGGCTGCAGTAACAAATGCCCGTTACTAACAGTGCTTTTGGGAGCTACATTAATAAAGTTATCACAGCATGTCATGAATGGATGACTGGACGCCAAGGCAAGGTTTTTGGGGTTTGGTTTGTAAATTGATTCAGGGGACTTTTCTGCTTAATTTAAAAATCTAAAGAAAGGCAAAGGGAGGAAGAATTCCCATTGCTTTCTTCAGATCTACAATTTGATTGTCCCTATGCACCTCCTGATGTTCTCAGGATTTCAGAATTGTCAGTTTCACTTTTGACAATGAGATAGATATGTCAGGTGGGAGGCTATGTGTTATTTAATGAATACTGAACGTCTTCTCACAATTTGGTCTTTGTTTTCCTCTGGCTCTTCTTACAATAAACAAATTCAACTTTCCCTAATACCTTGCATGAGACTTCTGTTTCCAGCTGTGCAGAGCTTTCCTCACACCTGCTGTTTGATACCTTTCTCATGTGAGTTGTCCATGGAGAGGGGCTAAACTTAATCTGGACCTTGAATTTGAGTATGGAAGCCTACCAAACCTGCCTTTTGGGTTCCAAAAGACCGTTTGCTTCCTTCTTAAAGATTCTGTGGCCTTGACCTTACATGCAATGATACACACTCAGGCAAATATGCCAAAATTCAAAGAAATTGTAATGTCTTCCCACGTTTTATCCTCAAGGTCCAAATTATGACAGAATCGCCTATTCAGTTTCATTGTCTCACACGTTCATTTTATCACCCTCTCCAAAAGGCGACTCACCTGCCTAACTAGCTTCACAGTCCTCAGAAAGATGAATTCTCAGAATAGGTAAATATGCATTTAGCTGCAGACCCTATGTCAGGACCGAAAGCCAATCTCCCACCCCTCTCTAGAAGTTAGCAGTACTCGTGGTTGTGACATGGGGTGAGTGCCTCAAAGTGCACAAAAAGCTTTCCTCTTCACATGCACCTTTCCTGGTTTTCTTATTGTAGATGTGCAGTAACTGATCATGAGGAAGGAAACAATCAAAGTTTCCAAAGGGCTGAGGAAGGATTTGAACCTGGCTTTGGATCACTGTCCTTAGCCTAAGTAGATCCCAGGTTTTCAGAGTCCTTTAAGGGGATTTTTTGTGAGGAAGGAGGAGGATTTCAGAGCTAATGAGCCACCGGGGCCTTACCCTGAAAGCATAGGCAATAGGCTGAATCAGGAACAAAGGTCATAAAAGGAAAAATAGGGGTCAAGGTTGGGTGGCTTTGTTGGCTCCTGTCTTGTAATTATGCCTTTTTCCTAAAGCTTTCATCATTCTGGAGAGAAGGCAGCAAGACTAAGTGCTTGTTCATTAGGTGTTTTCAGAGGGAATTTTGGCGGTAGCAGACTCTCCCGCCTCACCAGACGCCTAGTGATTCTTTTTTCTGGAGAAAGAACAAAACATTGGCAGAAGCTTGAACAGCATCTGGCAAAAATGAAGGGACGTGAACACAGAATGTGGAAGAACACCCACCCCAGCTCTGGGCTTCACATTTGCAGACCCAAAATAAGCCAACGGCGAGTTATTTTGGGGCTGTTGAGAACCTCTGAAGTTGCTAGCTATCACAAATTGTGTCAGCGATCGAAGGAGGGAAGCTGGGGTTTTCCCCACGTTTGGAAGGGGGGCAGGGAGTGCAGCGAGGAGCAGCCCCCCCCCACCCCGACAGGCCCTGAGTGTTGCCAATGTTTTGACCATCGGCACAGAGCTCTCCTTTAATAACATTTGCTTAATGCTTTACTTAATTAACACTTAACCTTCTCTTTCCCTTTTCAACCCTTTTTCTCCTCCCTTCGCTATATTCCCACGTAACTTAAAAAAAAAAAAAAAAAAACCTCAATATCAAAGCAGGCAATGCATGTGTGGCTATGCCTCACAAAATAGGTCGGATTATTGAGGGGAGTCCTGCTGACCGATGTGGCAAGCTGAAAGTGGGAGACCGGATCCTGGCAGTGAATGGATGTTCCATCACCAACAAGTCCCATTCAGACATTGTCAACCTAATCAAGGAAGCAGGAAACACAGTTACCCTCCGCATCATTCCTGGGGATGGTAAAGTATAACTCTTGTGTCTCTCATTCTCTCCCGAGCTCTTCCTGGGTCTCTCTCTCTCTTTCTCTGTCTCCCTCTCATCAGGATCCATGTCACTGAAGAGTGTTGCTTTAGAGGCAGGCTTACCCATCCGTAACCGAGCATACCCATCCTATGGATGCAAGCCATCCTTACCAACCCTTACCTCCCCCCTCCCCTTTACCTAATCCTCTTTCCCTGTGACCCTGTCTTGCTGCAGATACAAACATTACAGAAAATCTTAACTTTCCGCATTTTATTTTGGTTTTGGTACCCTTGTCCTTACAATGATAGAGTGGTTTGAATACAGGTGGTATAAGATCCTCTGATGTTCTATCTGGAAGTGATTAAAGATTTTTTTTTTTAAATCACTAAAATTTAACTGTATGATGGGTGCCTGACTGGCTCAGTCAGTAGAGCATGCGACTCTTGATGTCAGGGTCGTGAGTTCAAGCCTTACCTTGGGTGTGGAGCCTACTTAAAATAAAATTAAATTAATCAAATCAAATCAAATCAAATTTTTAAACTAAAATTTAACTATGATATGGTAACATCACAAAACCTACATAATGACAATTCAGAGCCAATACTTTTTTTTTTTTTCAGGATAAGTGAATATATGAAAGGTTTCTGTTGAATAAGAGATCCTTAGGGTTTGTGCTTACTTGGTTTGTCTAATTTTTGCACGTGGTTGGAGAAAGAATAAAACCTCTTTTTTGATAGGTTATATCTACATTAAACTAGGCCTACTCTTGTTTGTTAGTTTGCTTGATTATTTGATTGGTTAAATTCAAATCTTGTTTCTTTTACACCATTGGTGATTCTGCCCCCTAGGGGACATTTGGTCTTGTCTGGGGTGGGTGCTAATGGCATTTAGTGGGTAAAGGCCAGGGATGCTTCCAAACATCCTACAGTAGTATACAGGATAGCCCCCCACAATGTAAAGTTATACAGCAGAAAATATCAATATTCGTTATTCATATCTTTTTTAAGATTTATTTATTTTAGAGGGAGCGAGTGCAAGAGTGCATGGGAGGAGCAGGGGTCCGAAGGAGAGGGAGAATGAGAATCCTGAGTAGACTGCGCTGAGCACGGAGCTGAAACAGGATCTGATCTCACGAACCTGAGATCATGACCTGAGCCAAAACCAAGAGCTGATGTTTAACCGAGCGAGCCACCCATGCGCCCCACTCATTATTCATATTTAATAAAATTGAAGTTGATACACTGATGTCACTAAGTATAGATTCTTCAGAGAATTAAGTCCTGAATACTGACTTCATGTTAAGCAGACTTTGCCTTTGGGAGGAAAGTGATACTTGTCTCAAATGTTTCAATGTCTTTTTTGTTTGTTTTAACTATACATGTTATAAAATAAAATACGTATTCTCAAAGTCAGTATTTCTCAAGAAGAAAATGTGGTTTAACGAGATAGTGTGTTAAAAATTCTATGTCCTTGGGGCGCCTGGGTGGCTCAGTCAGTTAGACGTCTGCCTTCGGCTCAGGTCATGATCCCGGAGTCCTGGGATCGAGCCCCGCATCGGGCTCCCTGCTCAGCGGGGAGTCGGCTCCTCCCTCTCCCTCTGCTCCTCTGCCTTGCTCGTGCTTGCTCTTTGTCTCCCTCAAATAAATAAATAAAATCTTTAAAAAAAAATTCTATGTCCTTGATCGTAAAATAGGAAAATCAGAGATTTTATCCAAAAATAATTCACCAAATGAGTATTTTTTATAATTGTTTAGAAAGTGATCCCTATTAGTTTCAAATTCAAGTGGTGTAAACTGTGCCTCTCAGAAAAAAATAAATCGTAAACCAAACAATAAATACTTGAAAATTGTCAGTTCCAAAACCAGAGAATTTTCTCTGAGCCAAAAATACCCCATACCGAATGTGGAGGAAAAAAGAGCTCCTTGATTGCTGGTCTACTTCACCCTACCTCAGATGCATGGTTAGTAATTTACCATGTGGTTTGGAGTCCATTCCACCAGCTCACCACTCTGGAAGGCAAATTACAATTTAGGAATGTGGTCACAGGATGATAGAACATAGGTTCCTAATGGAAAGGATGAAGGAAGCCAGAAAAATTAAGTGAGAAGTGGTTGAGAGAGCCAAATGTAGTATATAAATTTAGACACATCTATCTACATGCTGTAAAGAGATTTCAAAAAACTAATCCAGAAGAAGGCAACACAGGCATTGACTTGCTTTGTCTATATCGGTCAGTCTTAATGTGGGAAGGATAATGTCCAAAGATGGAAGGAAGGAAAGAATGTACTCCTTGAGGGAAGGGCTTAGAAAAAGAGTTCGAAATCAGGAAAGATACAAATATGCAGAATCCAACTTATGCTACTGGGCACATACTAGGTATTGACTTAATTTAATAAAGTGCAATGGAAAAGTTTTAGAAAACCTGAACACCAAAATATGCAGTGCAAGGTGAATTACCCAGTAGCAGTTGTCAATAAAAAGGCAATTTTTTTAAATTTCAGTACTTAGAAAATATAAAATTCAGGTAGACACATCACATACTCTCTTGGCTAGAAGAAAGTAAACATGACAGCTGATTCAATGTAGTTGAGGACCGATGTGCTGCCCAGGATGTGATTTCATCCCAAGGTACTGCAGCAGTTCATTGCCATGATAATAAGACTCTTCATCAATTACTTTGTAAATTTCGGAAGCCAGGTAAAGGAAATCAGTTCTGACAGAGGGTGGATTTCTGATGCTTATCTTTTTAATGGGGCCAAAAATGGCCATCTTGGAAATTAAAATTGATGCAGGGGAGTCGGATTTCTGGAGAGCTGTTGGAACAATCCAAGAGAAGTTTGCAAACACCTAGGAGACAGAGTGGCCATTAATGAAGGTCTGATGAAGAGAGACACATGGCAGACCACTTGCTCTCTGCGAAGGTGTGTTAGAAGTGGAGAACTGTAGAATAAAAGGGAGTGTATGTTAGGGACCTCTGCTCTCCTTCAAACCTTTCACACGAACGGTTAATTCATCAAGTAGCCCAAAGACAGTGTTTGTGTTGTGGTCCTTGTGAGGAGACTGAAGTTCTTAGAAACCCATGTTATCCAGAGTACTGTTGTCAGAAACTCTGGGAGGCACTTCAAGGAGATGGGAAAACATGCTCTTTTTTGGGCAGTGCTCGGAACCCACTCCGGATCCACTTCTTTCCCTAGCTCCTGCTGCCTGATTCTTTTTTCTTGTCATTGCTCACCTGGTACTTTCTCCAACTTACTTATCTCTGTACTTTCCCTAACTCTGCTGCTCCATTTTTCTGTGCCCTCCCTGGCTCCCCATTAGCTCCCTTCAACCAAGACCAGGAAACATGACTTTCCTTTATTTGGCTTACTCTGTTCCTAGAAGGCCTGCCTTCACAGGTCTTGGACAGGCCTCGATCAGGGGTTCCTCTCCATCTCTGCTTTTACTGTCTTTGGGACTAGAGTGGGAGGTGCAGTGGGGGCAGAACATTTTCTCCTGTGAGATGTGGGCAAAGCATAATAAATACGTAAGGGCAGCACAGAAAGGCCCAGAGAATAGACGAACATACTGAATCTCAACTTGAAATTTGACAGGTCAGACACACATGTTTCCTACCACTTGCCTTCTATAGAAATAGTCTGTGAAATCTGGGTGGGAATGAGACTTTAATCAGAAAGGGCAGACCCTTGGCTTATTCAAACTGACACAGAACCGTCAGTATGAGTCAAGTTCTAGATAATGAAAATATTTATAAACTTAAAAATAAATTACTTAAGTCTTAAATTTGTACTTCAGATCACTCTGATTCAAAGTATTTGTTATATAGTAGGTAAGGGCATGGCAACCCAGACATTGCCATTTCCTTGGCAAAGGCATAGAATAGCATAAATATCTTAATAGAAGGCTCTGTGGATATGATAGCTAGCAAAGGGATAGGGCAAAAGGAACAGGGTTGCAACCATAACATGTTTTAAGTCTCCCAAAGTTTCGAATATTTATGGCATTCAAATTTTCAAACACTTCCTTTAGATATTTATTACATGTGTGTTTATGTATTCAAATATTTATGAAAGGAATGATTGTATCCTCTGTTGATTTGTTTGGCTTTGTAGTGTGGATTCCGTAAGGGATGCTAAAGGTATTAACATGAGGGCTAGGTTGGAATTGTGATCACTTGTGAGGGAGCTATTGAAACCCAGGGTAGAAGTTCCTGTCAGAAGTTAGTGCCCTGATTTAGCCCCACACCGTGACAGTACCTTGAGAGCCAGGATATGCTTTGCTTGAGACACGATTGCTATGGAAAGTGTAGTAATATTCATTTTCATTCCTCTGGGAGAGCTAAAGTTGGTGTAAACACTGTTTAATAAAGGGTGTAGGATACTTCCTGGAATTTGTCATAAAAATAGCTAATCTGTCCATCTATCTTTCAGTTTTAAAAGTCAAATACATTGACATTCATTCATAATACTGTGCTGGAGTAGGCTCTTTTATCAGGCCCTTGTTATATGAGGCAAGTTTTATTTTAGGATGGAGCTACAGATTTGTGATAATGGCCTTCATCTCTCTATTTTATAAAAAGCTAGAGAGAATTTCAACACATAAAGTCTTGGTTTAATTCTAAATGAAGACTTAAAAGTTTAATAAAATAAGTATAACTTTATTGATATTTAGAAAGCATCCTGGAAATCCAGGGTATGCTGAAAATTATTTAAGTGCTTAGAAGATGGCTCATGAAATCTAGAGTCAGAGCAGGGTATTTTGCTTTTTAATTAAGCTATGATAGTTGGTGGTATTTATGTAGTAAAATAAAGGCACTGCTTATTTGAAAGGAACATACCAATTAGATATGATTTCCTTGATACCAACACATAATTCCCTTGTAAATGGAAATAAGACTCTGGATGACTTTGGACATGTTACCTGCCTTTCCTTAGCCTAAATGTCTCCATCTGTAAAATGGGAGAATAATTGCACCAATTTCATCGAGTTGTAAGAATTAAATAGTGCATGTGGAAATGCACTTAGCACAAAGCTTGGCACTTTATAAATAATCAAGAAATGGTGGTTGTTCATAGATTAAGAAATACAGCGATCGGAGGAAAATTCAGTGAGCTCAAATAATCATTTGCATAAAAATGTTAATTTTTTAAATGCTTAAAGTTAATCTTCAATCCAAAACAGATTTGCATATAAATATGCAGAAAATAGCAAATGAAGGATAGGAGGCAGATCAATAAAAGAATTCTATTTATATGTGTATTGAGTGATTATCTGTCATATCTCATCAAATCATGGAAGCACAGAAATTAAAAAAAAAAAAAACTTTCAGAATGAGATCTGATCTGCCTTGAAAACCTCTGGCTACCAAAAACACACAAGAACTCGAAAGGGGAACTCCTGCACAATTCAGTAATTATAATCACTTTAATTACAAGGAAACGTTCTTTTTGGTATCCTGATTATGATTTCCCCATGGCCCGAACAATCTTGTGATTTCCCAGAGAGTCTCCATAAAATTAATTACAGTGAGCAATATGAATTTTTTTTAAAGGACCAATACATGGGTTGATGAAACTTCTGGTGAATCTTATCGATTGGCAGTGCAGTCTCTTAGTCCATTGTTCTGACACAGTGGGTGTACTTTATGGAAAATCACATAGATTTATCAACTTGGTTGTGCTAGTTAACTACACTCATAAAAATGTACTGATAATATGGTTTTAATATTGTGATAACAGTAATCAACACATGCTCCCAATAAAAAATGTGCTAATCATCTTTTGTATGGTTTTTATGTGCCAGGCACTATCCCAAACACTTTGCTCTCAGATAATTTTTACATGAATTTTCTTAGATACTCCTGTTGTCCCGCATGTACAGAAGAGAAAACTGACTCATAGAAAGTTTAAGTGACTTTGCATAAGTCCCAGCCAGGAAATTGCAGAGCTGGGGGGGTGCACATCGCCAGACATTCTGAGCCTGGAATCTGACCTCCTAGTAGGACTTTATGCTAAGCTGCCTCCCGTGAAGCCTGAGAAGCACCACCTCCCCAGCTCAGGGGATTGCAAGGTATATTGGCATAGTAAAGGCTCTGAGGACGCTCAGAGGCAAAACAAAATACAGACACACAAAAACACTTCCCTCTATTTCACCCATTATTTCTCATCCTTAATTGACCACAGGTTCTTCTCCCTCAGAATCTATAGGTTTAAACAGACAATGGGAAACTTGTCCTAAAGATGAATTGGATTCACTTTATAGTTTACTTGATCTAGTTACATTTTCTTATTAAACTTGTGCCTTAGCTCTCAGCATCATGGGCTTAATAGGTGGAATATAGACTGTTAAAATCATAATTCCAACTTTCCCATTTTGCAGAGAGTTTAAGTTCCTATGATAAATCAAAAGTAGAAGTGGTAGCAAGGGCCATAGCTACAATAAAGGTGTATTGGGTGCTTACTGTATGTCAGGTACTGTACTAGGCTTTCCATATACTTTTTTGTGTGTTTTTTTTATTATTATGTTATGTTAATCACCATACATTACATCGTTAGTTTTTGATGTAGTGTTCCATGACCCAGTGCTCCATGCAGTATGTGCCCTCTTTAATACCCATCACCAGGCTAACCCATCCCCCCACCCCCAAGCTTTCCATATACCTTTATCAAAGAGCAGAGTTATGTTATCATCCTCTTCTATCAGATGAGGGAAATAAGGCATACAGCTAATGAATGGGGGAAGGGGGATTGGATCTCAAGCCTGTGATTTTAACTGTGTAATGAAATAAAATAATAGGAAGCCAGACCCAAGCTGAAATAATATCCTTAGGAAATTAAAATGGAAGACCACAAGTAATTGGCATTTCTGGGATGTCCTGTCACCCAGGACTACAGTGGAGAAGAGATGTAGTCCAGGTATCCCAGGTGAGACTACTTAACACATTTTCCCATAGAAACTTTGTTATACATTATGGATGGATATATGTAATCTGCAAGCATTAGGATGCCTACTATGAACCACAGGACTCCTAGAAACTTACAGACTTCATTGCACCTTATGAATTAAATAGGCATTCATAGGCTAATCTTAGAACCTAATGACCATATTTAGTATTTTCTTGATGAGAAAATATATGCCAAGTTCCAAATAGTCAACCTAAAAAATAAATACTAAAAGAGCAACTTCCTCATAGCTGCTTGCTATCTGCCTTGATCTTAATGGAGAAATAATTAGTAAAAGACTATATAACCATTACTATATAAGTGATTACATTTTAATATATGCATGTTGGTATGCAATCTATAGGGCATGCTCATTACATTAGGGTGGCTTCATGATTTATACAACTTATGTTTATAAACTCTGGCTCTAACTAATGCAAGTTTAGAAATTAATCTTTCCTCAGTGATACTAGAGGAGATCTGTGAAGAACTCTACATTTTCAGTTGTTTTTCATTAAAAGCAATGGGGAAGAAGGTAGATGTTGTGTGTGCGTGTAGTTAACAAGATGTTAGCACACTTCTGATTTTAATGTTCACCTGAGGAAATCAAGCAGACTCACTAAATATTGCTGGTAAATTGTGGGAAACATTAGCCTGTAACATTCTGGGGAGAAGAGCAGCACCGGTGTGCAATGTTTTGACACGGGACTGCCATTTTTTAAGTGTCAGGGAGGGAGGGAAAGGGGGAGAGACACCTCCCTTGGCTACAATTCTAGAGTAGCATGTTGTGGGGCAAACTCTTTAGTTCATCTGTGGGGATATCATTTGGGAGGAGGGTAATGGGGACATACATGCCTCATATCACAGAAGATCTTAGAATGATTCTTTTAAGTCTTCATTGTTTAGAAGTTCATGTCAGAACTGCTTCAAACAGTGACAGAGAAACTAGACTTGTCATTCATATATGGCACTTCTGCATCCCTTCTGGTTTGATGATCTCTTCTCCAGGGCCCTCATTCTGTTATGCTCTGTCTCTCCCTGCAGAGTCTTCGAATGCTACTTTGCTGACCAATGCAGAGAAGATTGCCACCATCACCACCACACACACCCCTTCTCAGCAAGGGGCCCAGGAGACCAGGTCAGACATGGCTTTAGTTGCTTTTGTTAGGTTTAAGGGAAAAAATTAACTCCTGGCCTGATGATACTCATCCTTGATTTTTTTTTTTTCCTATTTCCTCATGGTTTGCTTTTACATTTATTTCTCTCACTTTGGCAGGAATACCACCAAACCAAAGCCGGAATCTCAGTTTGAGTTCAAAGCACCCCAGGCAACACAGGTGAGGGCCATTCTTCTTTTTTCTCCGTTTGCTTTGTACATTTCCTTCCAACTTTCTGAAGCTGTTTTTATGAGATATCTTTTATAAGATACCCTCAATTAAAATAAATAAACTTTTGTGAGAGGATGTACTAAATATGTACTCAAATTTAATTGTCTAGGAAATGACATTTTATTTTACTACCTTTGAAAAATATTCCTAGATATCCTTTTTAGGTGGGAAAAAACAAACAAAATAAAAAAAAAACCGTAATTGTCTCAGGGACTGGCCGTCAGAGAAAGAGCAAAATCGCTAATATCTACTCACGGTATTCATAACTGTGTTTATGCCAAGAAAATGTCATTTTTTGTTAAGGTGTTTCTCAGCCTTGTGACTTTCAGGTGAGACCCATAGAGCTAACTGCCCGTCCCACAGGGTAGTTAATAGGGGATGCACAAACATGCAGGTGAAGCAAATATGGGAAAAGCAAATATGGTTGAGCAGGTTCATTTTGACTGGCCTTCATAGAGCCTTCAGCAATCCATTCATGCTTCTCAGCCAGGGTAGCAGCCACTCCCCAGATGTGAGGAGTTCGTTGTTGGTGTCCTAGTGATAGACTCTGCTGCCATTTTCCAGGCGTGGGGCACAGAGGGTGAACATCCAGCACTGTGCAGGATGGTATTGTAATGACTTTCCCTGCCACAAATACGATCTGTGGCTTCCCTGATTAAATTTTAATATATCCATGTTGAGGTGCAGGCTACAGGCACTCTCATGAATGTTTTCAGATTCTGCATCTGCAAACTTCTAAGATGAATAAATATTAATAAACAATTGAGAATCACCAAGAGAAGGATAGAGACCATGCCTTTTTGTCAAATCACCATGACAGAGAATATTTGGAAAGAGGTGGGAAGAAATATGGGCAGATATACGCTCACCCCCAAATGATTACATTTTGTTTTTTTTAAATAGGAGCAAGATTTTTACACCGTGGAACTGGAAAGAGGAGCCAAGGGATTTGGCTTTAGTCTTCGAGGGGGCCGAGAATATAACATGGACCTCTATGTTTTGCGCTTAGCAGAGGATGGTCCAGCAGAAAGGTGTGGAAAGATGAGGGTAAGTAGGAAGACAGGTCTGGACAAATAAGTCATCTGCAGCGACTTTTTGACATGATGCAGCTAGAACCTTCTTGTTCCTGAGAACTACATTTTCTGCTGTTTTCAGGACACTAAATGCACGACTCCCACCCTAGCGTAAATCTCTCCCTAAAGCATAGTTGGTGGTAGCTGCTCAAGTTAGGTGAGCCCTTTTAACTCTTCAGGGTGGAATGAAGGATTGAAATGACTTACAAATTTATTGAAATAAATACTTTCTCAATCCCAGTCCCATAGTTCTTATGCTTAATTTCATAAGGCAGGCACATCACTTCACAGGAAATTCTAGGTATACCAGAATGCTTACAGAGCAGGGAAGACGTGTAGTCCTGTAGGTTCTGGGTGATGGGCTCCATTCAGTCTCCAGCTAGTCACCAGCTGTGTTACCCGAGCCTCAGGAGCAGGTCAGCTCTGCCCCAGCAAAGGGCCAGCAGCTCCATGGCATGAATATTCCTGGTTGCTCTATAGTAGTCAAAGCTACAAATTTCAAATACACAGGTGCCAAAAAGATCACTCTGTTCTGTTTAGATATCTCGTATCTGTTACTGTGCATGCATATGTCACTTTCCTGGGGGGATCAGGTGGTTTAAAAAAAAAATCATGTCATTATAGAGAAGTCACTTAGATTGAGGCATATGCATAGGGAGCAATTTGCTACAAAAGAAAAAATCAAGACAGCCAGATCAAGAAAGGAAAAAAGCACATGGAATTGGTCCAGAGGAAAGAGGGGATAAAAGTGACCAAGGGTAGGGAACTTAATATTTGTACGTAAGGCATAATATTGCTTTTTAAGTTTTTTCAGATTGAATTTTTTAAAAAAGATTTATCTATCTATTTATTGAGAGAGAAAGAGCTGGGGAGGGGCAGAGGGAGAGAATCTCAAGCAGACTCTCTGCTGAGCACGGAGCCCAACACAGGGCTTGATGCCCGTGACCCTGAGATCATGACCTGAGCTGAAATCGAGAGTCAGACACTTAATCGACTGAGCCACCCAGGCGCCCCCAGATTGAATTTTTAATGAGTGGGTTTTTTTTAGTTGAGAAAGTAGACCATGAAAATGGCTATAGAAAATTAGTGAAAAGTGGTACATATTTTAAAATATGGTTTCTAAAGTCAAACCATATTACCAATTTCTTGTATATTCTTTTGTGCATATATATGTACAATTTGTGCACATAGGAATAGAGACACTATATATGGCTTTCGTTTAAATTTTAAACACATGGGGTATGCTTTTCCATGTCCTTGCTTACTGAAAAAAGTTTCTGATTGAACGAACTATCATTATCATGCTATTTCGTATTATGCTGTATAGTTCACAAGACACATTTACGTGTCTTATCCAATTTGGTCCTCACACCTTGGTAGGGATGGGTTGTTAACATCCCCTTTTATGGATGAGAAAGTGAGTTCCAGGAAGTTAAAGGATTTGAGCAAGATTAGTTAGCTAATAAGTGACAGGACTCAAATTTAAGGCTTTAATCTCCAAAGCCAGTGCTTTTCCTCTTCTGCCTTCTGGAAAATAAGCTCCATGAGCGTATTTTATCTCCAGTGCCCTATAATAGTAGCTGACACATAGTAAATGCCACATCTGTGTATCAGTCAGGGTTGTGGTCTCATCAGAAAACTCACCCGGGGAGGGACACCTGGGTGGCTCAGTCAGTTGGACGTCTGCCTTCGGCTCGGGTCGTGATCCCAGGGTCCTGGGATCAAGTCCCGCATCGGGCTCCTTGCTCGGCGGGGAGCCTGTTCTCCCTCTGCCTGCTGTTCCCCCTGCTCATTCTCTCTTTCTCTCTCTCTGACAAATAAATAAAATCTTAAAAAAAAAAAAAAAGAGAGCTCACCCGGGGAAGCATTTGCTTCTAAGCTCACTCGCAGGGTCGTTGGCAGGATTCGTTGCCTCTTGGGCAGTTGGGCCTAGCTCTCCCTCATTTCCTTATCGTGAATTCTGTGGGGCAGCTCACCACATGCATCAGAGTGAACAAATGAGACAATAAAAGAGGGGCACATAAGACAGAAGCCAAAATTATTTTGTAACCTTATCTTTGAGCTGACATCCCTTCCCATTTGCCAGAAGCAGGTCACTAATTCCAGCCCACATTTGAAGGGAAGGAGATTACACAGGATGTGAATGTAGGGAGGAAAGGATTGACGGGGTGGGGGCGGCATCCTAGAAACTGCCTACCACATCTTCTTTTCCTGAACAATTAATATTCCCTTTACTGCTTCATCTTTTTTTCCCTTAGCACTTACACTTTCCAACATACACGTGTGTCTCTAATTTTGTTGTTAATTGTCTTCCATTAGCATGTCATCTCCATGAGGGCAGGAATTTTTTTTGTTTCCTTACCTGCTGAATCCTAAGCAACAAGAGATTTTCTGGAATATACTCAATAAATAGTAAATCACTCAATGAAAGAATTTTATTTATTTTTTTATTTTTTTAAATTTATTTATTGAGAGAGAGAGAGAGAGAGAATGATAGAGAGCATGAGAGGGAGGAGGGTCAGGGGGAGAAGCAGACTCCCCGCTGAGCAGGGTGCCGGATGTGGGACTCGATCCCGGGACTCCAGGATCATGACCTGAGCCGAAGGCGGTTGCTTAACCAACTGAGCCACCCAGGCGCCCCACTCGATGAAAGAATTTTAAAGCATAAAGCACCTTGATAGCTGGTCAGACCCTTTGAGACATTCTCACTCTTGTCTCTTGCTTTGGCAGATTGGTGATGAAATTTTAGAGATCAATGGCGAGACCACCAAAAACATGAAGCATTCTCGGGCTATAGAACTGATTAAGAATGGCGGCCGCAGGGTGCGTCTGTTTCTGAAGCGGGGAGACGGCTCAGTACCAGAATATGGTGGGTCAAACTATGAAAACCTTCCTTCCTTCCCTGGCATGACTCCATGAATGTGTCTCCAGAACTGCAGCAGGAAAGTCTTTTTGTTTTCCCCCTATTCACCAGTGTCTCACCAGCCTTTCGCACCATGTGATTATTTGCCTCGCTTGTTCTGAAATCTCTACACATTTCATCCTTTTGCTTGCTTATGTGGACCGGGGCGTGGCCTAAGACAAGATCTCGATAGCCCCCTTTCTGATAAGCAGAGAGAACATTTTGTCTAGTCCAACCAAGAGCGAAGGAATGTTTGTTGGAACTGTGCCAAACTGTTTCTCAGATCCAATTGTTAGCACAAACTGACTATACTTTTCAGAAGTAGGAAAGCAGGTTTCCTGAATGATATGTTGAGGCACAATTCTCCTTTATTTTTTTCTTTTTTTGATTACTTGATGTTTTTACATAAGAGGTGTGAAATTTTTGAGATGATTTGGGGGCCTTGCTCACCTCCTTTATACTCTGTATACGACACTTCTGCATATCCCCCTTGCTGGTCCCTCTCCCCAGACCACCTGAGCCCACTACTATAAGACAAACAAAACTGTTGATATATTAGCCATATGTTTTTAGATGAAAAAGGATGAAATAGATTCCCAGTGCTCATCATGAGGGAAACATGTTACTATACCTTTCCTATGGGGAAAGCCAGGTTATACATAGGAGTTCCTTTGTCATATATGTAGACATGATTTGAGTAAACAGCAATGATCTTTACCTAGCGTAGTCTTCTGATGGCAAAATATTGTATATTAAATGATTATGTCCTATTTATTTGAGAGTCTTGTTTAAAATTAAAAAAGAAAAAAAAAAAAGCTATGCCCTAGATGTAGGGCTTTTCTTCCCAACCAAAGGTCTACAGAAGTTTCTATAGAAACTGTGATTGAATGGTCCCCATATACGTTGGTCCCCTTTATTAGGGATTGATCTGTTATCACTCTCTTTTCTGAAAGTCATTCTGCATAATTCCCAGTTGCATTTTGGGCTTGATGAGATCCTTAATTCAGATGCAGCTCACAGAGAAGGATAACCCCTTTAAAGGACAGCCTTCCCAGGTGTTGGACACTCATATACACGTGTAAAATACAAGGGGCCCGAGGTGGGGGGAGGGAGGCCATCAGATGAGGCCCCTTTAGATATGGCAACCACAGGGGAGGTGTTTTGATGTTGAGATGCCACAGCTGTGCACTGTACTGAATCTCTGACCATAGGTGTATCAATGCCACTGAAACTGTGTAACATTGTCTCCCTTTTCTGTCTCCCCTATGCTTCTGTTGGATGTGATATTTCATTTGAGAATCATCGTCAGTAACCTGTGTACCTTCTCAAAACCTATGTCTGTTGCACTGAGGATGAAAATCCAGCACTAACAAATGTTCTTTGGGCTAAAAATAAAGATCCTTTAAATACTCGCTTTTTCCAAGAAGGCTTGAACATGCCAGAGTTGTGCTGCTGTAATGTGTCCCTGTGTCACTTGGACTGAATCTCTCTAATTCTATCGATTAGAGTCACAAATGGGTTATAATATGTTAAGTTCCAATATTTTTCTGACTTGATTGGAACCTGCTTCTCTGTGAGGCTATTTTTGTAATGAGTTTTTTGTACTTAATTTAACTGCCGCGGTCTTCAAGGGTGGGGGAGGGAGGGAACTTCGGTCCTTTGTTGTTTATTGTTAATGCTCTCCTAGGCCAGCTTGTCATTGTTCCAGTTGTTTGAAAAAAAAAAAAAAGAAAAAAGGGTGCATCCATTGTCTGGGTTCTTGAGTCACTTTATATGGCTGTCTAAAAAATGTCACTGTTCTGATTGCCGTCTCTGCAGCCTTATTTGAGTTTTGCCTTAGATTGTCTAACTGGACAAATAAACTCTCTTTGCCCTATGTTAACAAATGCAGATTTTTTTTTCTTTCCTCTTTGTTATAGGGAATCTAAATGTTCAACTTTTCTCTTTCTCTCTTTCTCTTTCTCTCTGACTGTTCTTGGTGCTGGGCCCTTCCCTTCTACAGCGATGATACCTCCTAATCTCGCTGCATGTATGAGAAATGAAAAGCTCGGGGAGGCTTGCTTCTACCTTATGGGCCATAATCAAACTACGGTTTGTAGCTCAATCAATACTAGGTGTTTCTGTGCTGTGGCCTAATTTCCTCATTGCTTCTGCTTAGTTCTATTTTGATATGTTTGGCAATTCATTCTGAACACCCTGCGTTCTTTGAATTGTAAGTACACCACCGACCCTACTGAAATCTTCCTGTCCCTTATCTTAAAAGTAGGTGTAAGAAACCCCGAGGTTAGGTTTGTGAGAGCGATCTAAGCACCTATCCTTACCCAAAGTTTAAAACGACTTTGTAAGCCCCTGTTTGTGTTAATTCTAGGACCCAGCATTCAGAAAGAGCAAACCTCCCATCACAGAGCCCTCCCCTAGGTCGGTAAGGCTTTGATAGACAGAAAGGTGACATGTCCTACCTCGCTATCCTTTGGGAAACTAGAGCCCATGGGCCAAATCTTGTCTGCAGCCTGTTTTTCTTAGTAAAGTTTTATTGGCACATGGCCACGCCCATTTCTTTTATGAATTGTCTACAGCTGCTTTTACACTCTTGTCCAGTTAAGTACCTCTCACAAACTACACAGCTGGCAAAGCCAGAAATATTTACTCTTTGGCCCTTTACAGAAAGTTTACAAACCCTGCTCTAGGCTATCTTCCTGTTTTTATTAAAACCCCACCCTGGGTTTTGGGAGATCATTCATGAAACAGATTGTTTAATGCTGACCTTGTTGCCTCATGAAAGATCCTTAAAGAGTTCCTGTGATTCCTTCATCTCTGTGACTGTCACCCTGGTTCACTCGGCAGCACATCATTTCAGGTGTCTTGCCGGGAATCGTGTAATGTGTCTAACTGACTGGGCTTAGCTGTAGCAAGAGCATCCCTGCTTTGAAAAGCGCTCTCATAATGTCAGGGTGCTACCTAAAACATTGGCCATGTCATTTCAAATAGTTTAATAATAAATAGGACCCCCCCCCACCATGGGCTGCTCTGCTTTTAAATCTATAGATATCTTGATGTTGTAAGAAGCAGTGCAGTGAGTCCTCAGCTCCTGGATGCAGTTAGGGCGACCTTGTGTAGCATAAGGAAAATTGTCTCTGAAAGGCTGTATCTGAACCCCGTGTAATGTCAGACATGCCCCTGACAACCTCTCTCCCACTCCCTTTTGTCAGGAAACGCCACATTTTGAAAACAGTTTCTTAAACTTACCCAAAACTAGAGAAAAGTGTTGAATAAAATTCACAAAGGTAGAGAGGATGTTTAATGGACCCTCACATACATGTCACATTTGGCAGTCATCCACATCTGGCCACGTTGCCTCTATAATCCCCTTTGCCCACCACCCTGGAGTTTGTGTTTTGTTTTTTTTTAAGAAAAGTGTTTTAAAATAGAAATGTACTTTGCATAAAATGCTTAAAGCCTGAGTGTACAGCTCAGGCTTTTTTTTTTTTTTTTAACCTCTATAAACACCCATTTTAATCACCCAGATCAAAATATAGACTCTTTACATCCCCCAGACCCCCAGAAAGTTTCCCTCATCCCCCTCCAGGTCAATAACCTAGATTACTTTTAAGCAAATTAAATTAAGGATTCTTCAAAGAAAAGAATGTTTTCTCTCATGGGGGCCTGGGCGGGAAGAAGGGTGGGCAGGGGAGAAGGCTTGATGGGTGGGAAAGAGCAAGAGGTAGTTAAGGTGGGGACTTTCCGATACACTGTTTGGGTTGTGCCTTTAAAGACTAAAATCGTGACTGATGCTCTAAGTTCCTTAATGATCTATGTCGGGGGTGTAGCCATGAGCAGCTAGATGGAGAAAGCCACAAGTACTAAGTTTTTAACCTTCGGTAGTTGCAGTTAGACTTAACCAGGATTCAGTCGGCTTTGATTCTGACTGCTTTAACCGTTGTTTGCTTGTTGTGACTAATGAGATCTCAGGCGTGGGAGTGGGGACAGGAGCCGAAGGCCCTCGATACCAAACTGTGGCTCTCCTTTCTTTTCCTGGCAGACCCCAGCAGCGACCGGCACGGCCCCGCCGCCGCCGGTGCACAAGGGGTTCCGGAAGTGAGGGCCGCGCCCCCCGACCGCCGACTGCATCCATCATTGGAGTCCAGTTACCCACCCGATCTTCACAAATCATCACAGCATGGGGAAAAGCGGGCACACGGGAAAGACCCAAAAGGCAGCAGAGAGTATAGCAGACAACCCAATGAGCATCACACATGGAATGGAACTTCTAGAAAACCCGACAGTGGGGCTTGCCGACCCAAGGACCGGGCACCGGAGGGACGGAGAGAGGCGCCCCCGGAGCAGATGGTGACCAACGGCCCCAAGAGGAGGTCCCCGGAGAAGCGCAGAGAAGGCACCCGCAGCGCGGACACCACTTTGGAGAGAAGGGAGAAGCACGAGAAGAGGCGGGAGCTTTCTCCGGAGCGGAGACGCGAGCGCTCGCCCACCCGCCGAAGGGACAGCTCGCCCAGCCATCGCAGGAGGTCCCTCGAGAGACTCTTGGATCAGAAACGGTCCCCAGAGCGCAGGAGGGGGAGCTCGCCAGAGCGGAGGGCCAAGTCCACCGACCGCCGGCGGGCGCGGTCCCCCGAGCGCAGGCGCGAGCCGTCCCTGGAGAAGAGGCACAAGGAGGACCGAGTGAGCCACCGAGGAAGGGAAGAGCCCAGTGCGAAAGCGGATGCCGGCCGAAGCTCCAGACACGCCCCCGAGCAGAGAAGGCGACCTTACAAAGAATGTAGCACCGACCTCAGTATCTGAGACGCTGAGGCACAGTCCAACCTTTACCGTGTCAAAGGTTCTAAGAGGAAGGTCACAAACCTGAAATAATTTAGTTTCTTACCTGGTGAAGCGTCTGACACCCGATGATCCTATGAAGAGCAACAAACATTTTATGCATTTGAAATCTTATAAGAAAAAAATATATATATGAAAAGTGTTGTGCCTGATGTATAATATTAAAGAAAGTATTTTTAAATGCGTACTTTTTTGGAAATTATTTGCCAAATGCTGCCCCGAAGAGATATACATTTTGTTTCTACATAAACTGTAGAATTGTCAAGAATTGTTCCCTTTTGGGGGGCAATCTTTTTCTCTCCTGGTTAAATAGGGCTGTTGATCAGAATTTTCTCTAAGGGAAATTATTGATTAAGTTTAATTAATTTGATGTAGATTGTTATGTAGTGATGTAGTGCTATACTGTAGTTAGGAGTTTTTCTTTAAAAAAAAAAGCAAAAAGGCAAAAGTTATATTTGTAAAAGCTGAGGACTCTGAGATGGATTAGGATTGCCGATGATCCTAAAATTTAACTGTATGAAGAGACTACTGTTGCAAATGAAGGATATTTATAGCTAAACTACACAGCACAAAGAAATGTTCCCTTCTCGAGTCATAGTTGGTTCAGAAAACAGTTCGTACTCTCCCTGGCCATAGAAAGGCACGAAGAGAAGGTTGGCCGCCATTACCCAAATGTAGCCCAAGCACAGATGGTCAGGTTCATTAGCATCACCAACATCTAATAAGATCTCATTAAGGCAGTGCCATCACAGCTTTGCTCAACTACTAGAAGGAACGGACGGACACTGAACACCTTCTGTGTTGTCTTGTCTGATTTGAGGCTGAATAGTGGATGGAATGGGGAACAACGTGCCCAGTGCAAGGGAGCCGTGAGAATCCTCCATACAGAAAGTGTGTTCCCCCTTTGTAGCATAAGCCCAAGGTTGCCCTTTGCCGAACTGGGGACCAGGGAGTGAGCGTTGGTAGAAGTTACCTCTCTGTTGATATTTAAAGAAATGAGGGGCTGGGGGTGCTTTATTCTTAGAGATGCCGATTTCCCTTTGCAACCATAATAAAAGTCTCCAGGATGGTTGAAAGGGAAAAAGACACAGTCCCAGCGGTGGTAGATGGAGTTGGCAAACCTCTGCCCTCATGACAGTGTCCTTTGAGTCCTTGGACAGCCGAACAAAGCATAACCATTTTTCTTTTTAAAAACGACCCATTCTTTTGCAGTCCCGCAGGAGGTGTGGTTGGGTCGGCTTGTAGCCCCAGGATGTGGTTGAAATGGATTACTGCCTAGCTGAGCCAAATGTTTGCTTGTACCTGTTGGACCACTACAGCAAACCGCTGCTTACAATGCATTGTGTATTTCTGTAGTACTGTTTTGCATTTTCCATACAGACACAAAACTTTGCAAGTCAATCACTGTTATTCTCATGGTACTGTTTAAAAAAAAAGGAAAAAGGAAAAAAAAATGGAGAAAACCAGCCAATCATTGTGTGTACAGAGTTAAAAATTGTAATTAATAGAGCCTGTTTAAAAAATAAAAAAAAACAACTGTTGCCTTTTTTTCTTGTATAAAAGAGAATTTATGACAAAAAAATTTAGCTGTGAGGAATGTGATATGTGTTTATATTTCTGACTATGGAACAAATTGATTCATTGGGATATATTTTAATGTAAACTAAATCAGGTATGTAAAGCTGTTTTAAAATGGGAGACTATGTAAGTAATTCTCTAAAGCTTTAGTTGGTTTGAATATCATCATTTCCTCCATGGTGAGCCTGCTTGTGAATTATTAAGCACTTGTTCGCATTCTCTGTTCACTCATTTCTTGCAGTGTGCTATGGACTTTAATGCTCTTTCTGTATTGATGAGAAGCAGTATGTGGGCCAATCTTTTTATAAAACACTATGCATATATAAATATTACATTGTTCATAGCTTTATTTGACTTCTGGGTTGATACATAACATAGACTGAGTTCCTGTAGTTGTGTGGACATGCACAAAACACGTTCCTTTCCTGGAACAGAGACAATGTACTTGCTGTAGCTGAAAAGGAGGAAGAGGGTCTGTGACTGCTACTTTTATCATCAGAGTTTTCCACACAAAGCATACATTGAGCTGTGGTAGTAAGGCTGAGGGAAAACACAACGGAATATTGACATTTGTTTTCGTCAGTTTCCTTAGGAGCCCACTTGGGGATTTTATTCCCCAGGCTGCCCTGCTAGGAATGTTCTCACTATTTCTAGCAAAATCGGTGATGTTAAATGATCGATGCTGTCACTTGTGGTCCAGAGTTTTAAATAAATGAAATCAAGGTGGATTTTTGGAGTACATCGTGAAGGTAATGTCTTAATGTCTTTCTTGTTGTCAGAGGTGATATTTGACATTTTAAAATCTGTGTGCTACCCACTTGGGCTTGGCTCAGTCTGCGAAGACTTGGTGTGGCAGTTTCCTCTGAGTTCCACACATCGGATTTGCTTTGGAAATATTGTACTGTACAGGGACTATGCATTAAGCAGAAAGATCCAGTTTTCTCTGAACTACTGTAACCTTAAATTGGAGACTGATTCTTGTGAGCCTACTTTCCCTAATCCCCCACCTCATGTAAATGTCTTGATGAGAGATGATGGATGAGTATTTTGTATGATTAAATCAAACCATTGAAGAATCCCCCTCCCACCCATTACACGGTTGATGCCTGAAAGAATGTTGGGGGGAGAACTCGACACCCTACTTGTATTTTTTAAGTTTCTTTTGTGAAAGATTTTTTAATGCATTTTTACTGTAAAAATACATGGAAATGTATGCATTCCATAACCACTATTGCTTCTGGATTGGTATCTTTCTTGTCTCTGCGTGTCTCAAATGTATCAGGGTCAAGTAATCAAGCGAGGGTGTCTGGCTCCAACTCAGTGCAACGGTAGGGCATTCTGTTGAAAGAGAAGGAATTATGCCTTTGCATCGATAGTACAGTGCCTTGCTACTCAAAGTGTGGTCCGCAGACCGCCTGCCTCATCATCACTGGAGAGGGTATTAGAAATGCAGAATCTCAGGCCCACCCTGGACCTACTGCGTCAGAATGTGCCTTTAACAAGCTCCCCGGCTAATTCAAACGCACCTGAAGTTTGCACAGCACAGTATAGCAAGGAACCCTGGTAAGAAGCAAGACCTGCTAAGCCAAGTGCTTCATCACTTCCTGTGTGATCTTGAGCAAGTTCCTTAACCTCTCTATAAGCCTCACTTTCCTCGTCTTTAAACAGGCATATCTCAGAGCTGGTAAGAATGAAGTGCAAAGTGCTTAGCACACTTCTGGCATCAGAACAATCCTCAGTAGATGCCACTAATTTTTTTTTTTTTTTTTTTGAGGAGGAAGATGTTCTGCCTGGCAATGGATGTTCTCTTCTCATTGTCCCAGCTTATTTTCCAATGAAAATGAAGAAATAGATTCTCCCTCTATTAAAATGGGGAAGAAGGCCTCCTGTTTTAATAATAAAGTTAATGAATGATGTGGCTCATGCTACTTCCTTCATGAGTCTAATTACACTTACCAGTGATTTGAAATATAAAACCGAGATGCTGTGTCGTGAAAGTTAAGATGGAAATGGTCTCAAAGCAGAACCTTTAGAGATGTGTGTGGAGTTAGACGTGCACCTAACTAGTCCTATTAGGTGAAAAGGTTAACCAATTGGTGAGCGGCTTAACACATGTCCTGGTCGATCATGTCATTTCTAATGACTTTCCATTTCCTTCGCACAGTTTTTGGATTGTTCCTGTAGTATGACTTGGTAGTTAGGGTTTTCCTATACAACCTAAGTTCCTGGTCATTCAAAAAGGCATTGCGTTTAACAATAGCCTTCCTACAGTCCATCCCTTTTGCTGTATTTTGCTTTATTTTGTCACCAGCATGTTAATTAGAGACACTGTTCGCTTCCCCAGTATCTCTTTTGTTAAAGATGGCACCTAAAAATGGTCCCTGGCTTACCTGATAATTGAAACTATTTGCAAAGCCCTATTTGCAAAGCCCATATGTCCCACAAGTTCTTTGCCTGCCATAAATAGTCACACGAAAAAGAATGTGCTGTGACTCAATTATAGCTGGATTCTTCCTGCTGATGGGCAACCCAAGAGCACCTTTGATGGTCTGCATGCATCGTGAAAGGAAGAGCCCTTTCAATTTCCCCAACAGGATTTTTCTTATAATCAAGCAACATCATCAGCATTGTGGGTGTTCAGCACAATAAGATTCTAGTGTTTTTGGAATATGCATCATCACATGCTTCTAAGAGAGGAAATGACAAAACTGGGCCCTTTCCAACACAATTATTTGGGGGTTTTTTGTTGTTGTTTTTTGTTTTTTTGCAGGAGCAGGCCCTCTGTGAAAAATTTTTTTACTAGTTCCGCCCATCGATGCATTTATGCATTGTGCTCTTCATCGGGAGCTGGTTGTATGGTTTTTCTTCTCTAATGCAAGTATTAGAGGAACGCTGGATCCAAAATACAAGATCTTCTTGGAAGCACATGCCTTGAAGCAAGATGGCATCAACAGTAAATACTGAGGTGCCACAAGTGACTGTCACCCTCTAATAAATCGCTCTTCTTCCCAACTGGAAAGTCTTCATTGTCACATCCCTTGAAGAAATAACAACTTGATCTGCACAGCCTGGAACACTACCCACCAATAAGCACTGTCCTTTTAAGTATATTCATCCCTCAGGGAATGAACTCTGATCTCAAAGGATCATAGGGTTGAAGAGAAAGTAGCTCAGAAAGGCTGCTAATTCTTGCCTATTACTCATTTATTCCTCCAACACATATTGAGGACCAACTCTGTGCCTGACACATGCTGAGGACGAACTCTGTGCCCGGGTGCATGGTGGGGCTAGAAATACCTGCTTCCTGGTCTCCAGAGTTTATACCTGGGTGCGAAAGGCAAACACACAAACACAAATAAACTATATACCAAGCAGAAGTTCAGGATCTGTGAGAGTAATTAATAGGGGATGTAGCCAAATTGAGAAAGGTTATAATTCTAGAAGGAAGAGAAGGAGTTAACTGGTGAAAAAGGGAGAAGTATAGCCTGAGGCGAGGGAGGGAGTGTGGTCCAGCAGGGAAGGAGGCACACCGGGAAGGGCCAGGCAACTTTGTTCTGAATTTTAGCCTTCAGAGTAACCGGTCCTTTGAAGAGTAACAGAGCTCCTGGTGAGCTGTGTGTGCTTGGGCCAGGGGGAGGGGGGCCGG